TCATCCATCCTTCATGTGTCCTTATGGCTCTAATTAGTTAACTCTTGCACACAAAAACGTGGGGTGGCCCCCACTCATGTGGGAGGTCATCCCTTTGTGTCCCGGTGTGTACAATCGGTCCCGAAAGTTGTATTTTTCGGACTGTTTTAATCATATTTTATTTTATCGAGTAAAATAAAATATATTGTGTGCTCTTACTCATTATGACATTTATAATGAATATACATTCCTCATCTTTAATTTATAAGCCTCCGAAATTCAGTTCGGGCTGTTATCTGTTAAATTACCAGTACCGGTAATTTGGGCCTCTTTTGACCAATCGGTCAACTCTGGGCTTTTCCATGGCCCAAATGAAATATCCACCACTATATATTTATTATATAGACCAAGATGAATAAAATATATGGTCTCGGGAAAGTCGGGCGGTCCCCGCTCCCGGTGTGGGCCCCACGTGCGATCTACTATTCACGCGAGAGAATTAATAAAAATTTACAACTTCGTAAATTCATAAATCATTCCGTAAGGTTTATTACATCATTTACTTGAAAGTAAATACTTTTGGGGACGGTGTTACACTATATATTATGTATGTTTTTTATTTAGTGCTAAAATATACTTCTTATGTAGTATTTTATGGTACTATGCCAACATTGCCAAAGGGTGACACAAGTATATGCAATGCTGCAATTCTATCTCCAAGACTCTCTCTCCTCTTTGCCTGCTGCAAACATATGCACAAACTCTATAGTTGTTAAATACGAAGTACTAATTAACTAATGAGTAATTTACTAATTAAGTACTAAGAAATGTTATCTAAGCATGAACTGTCTTCATTAAATAAATAAATAAATAAATAAATAAATAAATAAATAATTTAGCTGACCTTTGTGGCATGCAAATGGATTCAAATTAAGTTAATTCAAAAGAAGAAAAGGCCAATAAAGGAAATCAGACGAGTATTATTAGCTTCTGCTTTAATTTGCGTGTCACCTTGATTGGGCGTAAATCATCTTTTGGTACATAATCTGTACCAAAAGAGAGCATATTTGAAGAGTTAGGGTGGCCGGAGGAGGAAGAAGTTAATTTGAGGCTGCCGTCTGAGGCTGTCCCAAGGCTCACAACGACGTCGTTAGCATCGAACAGCGGCTGGGAATAGATGAGATAAGAAGGATGCGATGAGGGAGGATGAACCGTGAGATAAGGAAGGAGGTGGTAGACGGGTCGGGTAATGAACAAAACCTTCCTCAGATTACCGGTAATTATTAATAAAGATACACACTACATCCGGTAACTCCCAAGTGAGGACCGATAACGGAATATGATAGGCAAAGATCGGATTTTAATGGATTTTCAATAAAAAGGACCGTTAAATGAAGACCGGGTAAATGTTGGATTATTCTTTTCCAATTTCCCTATAAAATTAGTGTGATCTGAACTAAAATCAATCAAAATGAAAACATTATGTGGAATACGGAGTATATTTTATATGAGCCCCCCAAAATAGGTACCTCATCTTCACCTCAACCGGGTGTGTAGTCATAAATGGGCCAACTCATTTAAGTGGTGCCCCACTTAAATGAGTTGCCTCATTTATGGCTACACACTGGGGTAGGGTAAAGATGGGGTACCTCATTTTGGGGTACCTTTAGTATTTTACATTTTATATGTTGTAACTCATAAAATTTGCTTGATGTCATGTTAACAATAAGTTTTACAATTTTTACATGTTCATAATTAAATTTTTTATTAAGAGTTAAACTAGACGCTCTATGGAAGTCCAAAATGGGAATGGAATATGACAAACATTTTCAAAATTAGGGGACAAAAGTGAATATATTCTTAATGTGATTCAACAGTAGTGGAAAACTAGTAAAGTTACTAGTTCAGTTGTCTAGAGGGAATACACGTCTTTTAACTTTTCTAATAAATGAATTCTAATATTTTCTATCCAAATCCACCAAGGGGATCAATTAAATTAGTGACATTTCACATGGAATGTTAATTTGAATTGGAGTTAAAATTTTCTACAAATTGTACTTGAAAAAGAGTGAAAATTAGGTAAAATTTCTAAATATATCGGAAATGTGAAATATGATCAAAAGATAAGAAAATAAAATCAAAAAAGATAAAAGGATGACATTTCTGGGTGAAATATTGATGCCAAAAGGGATCAAAACTATGTATTTGCAATTGAGAGTAAATCGACGTCAGACTTAGGATCAATCCGACACTGGAGTGAAGCAGAGAAATGACTGGGGCCAGTCCCAACACATGGCCAACACCATACCCATCACCCACTTATTTTGTGAAGAAACTCGGTTGAAACTAGGGCTGGGACTTTGGAACCAAGAACCGGAGAACCGAACCGGACCGAACCGTTATGACCCGGTTCGGTTCGGTTCCAACATTAATTAATTATTTTTTAATGGTTCGGTTCCTATTTTTTATTAATGGTTCGGTTCTCGGTTCCTGAAAAAAATATGTACTAGGAACCGTTAAGGAACCGTTATATATAATAATTAAAATTATATATATTTCTTATGAGCACATATATTTTAATGTATATTTACTTACTTATTTTTATATTACATTCATTATTTTTGTTTAGTTATTCAACTATTTAAAACTATTATTCACTTCAACCGGTTCTCTTAGGCTTCTTAGGCATCTCATTAGGTCCAAACTCCAGTGGGTCGGAACTTTGAGGGTCCAAGTATTTAAAATTGTTATTCTCTTTAACTGTTTAAGCATATTTGTATCGTAATTTCAAACGTAGAATGTCTTTTTGGCAAAAATTTAGTCATGATTTGTAAGAATTTTTTCGAAGACTAGGAACCGTTAAATGACAAGAACCGAACCGTTAAGAACGGTTCGGTTCCTTATCGGTTCTATAAAATAATTTATAAGAACCGAACCGTTAGTAAAATTTCATATTTTCAAACGGTTCCACATATTTGGCCTAGGAACCGAACCGGTCCCAGGCCTAGTTGAAACCGAGCTGAACCCAAATCAACGCCGCACTTGTTCGAATATAAAGAAAACGGCACGACGCGAAACTAACACATTTTTTAGTTAAGATGAACATATATTTCGACCTCGACTTTGACCGGGCTTGCTCAGCTCCCTCCCCCTTACATTTGCAGATCGAATTCTCAAACAAGAGCAAATGGTAAAGGGAACAGAATTCAAGGAGCATCTCTTGATGCTTTTGTTAAGATATACTCCTTGAAATGAAGATATTTGGGATTGAATGAAAGGATCGTCTATTTCATAGTTGTTTCGACTTGATGGCTTTGCGAAAACTAGAATAGGATTTTGTTCAGGCGGTTGAACTTACTTCTCGTTCTCGTTGTGAAAAGTTCAAATAATCTGCTGGCATGATATGTAAGGAAAAGTTCCAAACATAGAGAAGGGACACAGGCAAGACCAATTCGGGCTCTGCTCAATACTAAAGCTATACAAGGGATTATTAAAAAAATTAGAATGTTTTTACATGGAATATTTTTAGTGCTAAACCATACTAGATTTAAACAAACTAGACTTCCATAGTTATAAAATAATGAATTTTTCAGAAAGATACTAAAAACTGAAATAATATCACTTTTATCACATTTTAAAACTTATTTCAAAAATAGACTAACTAATAATCTCTTTTCACAAATAGGCTACTTCACGCATCCGGAAGCTCTACTGTGTACGTGCGTTTGAACTCTTATCCACTTATCCAGGTTTAGATTCTTAAATTCTATCAATTACTCATATTTTTTTTGTTTAATAGAAAAATGTATAAATTCATTTTACATTAATCTGATTATAATAAGTACAAAGTTGAAATCTAAAAAACTAAAATGAAGTTAAAAAAACATTATCTCAATAATAAAATGTTTGAAAATTCACAATAAAATAAAGAACGAAAATTAGTAAATGATATTAAAAAAAAAAAAGAGAAAACGGTAAAAACAATTGATCGAATACACTTTTTGTGATGTAATTTTTTAAATAGCTAATATAATTTATTTAAAAATATAAAGTACTACCTCCATCCCAAAAAACTTTGTCATTTCAAAAGGTTTGAACCTTGATTTTGATTAGTACGGAGTATAATATTATGGAAGTTATAAATTTTATACTTTTATGAAAGTATTTTTAACAAAGAACATTTTGATATAATTTTTATATTATAAATAATTTTCAAAAAAAAATATAGTCAGTCAAAATTTTGAAAATGACAAGGTTTTTTGGGACGGAGGTAGTATCAAATATAAAATGGAATTCGAACGTTTAATTAATTTTTTAAAATGATTAAAACCCTAAAACGATAAAGTTACAAAAAATGTAAAATAAGCTAAAAATTTCAAACTATTAAAAACATATGAAGAAGCAATTATAAATTTTAATTAGATTGTGACAAAAAAATGGAATATATTAAAAGTAAATAAATATATAAAATTCACATAACTATATAAAATATAAAACTATTCAAAAATAAAAAATAAATTTTATATAGTAAAGAGAAAATGAAAATTTAAATATTAAATTTATGTTAAAAAATAGAAAATTAATCTAATCTACAAAAATTCGAAAAAAAACAAGAATATGAAAATTAAAATATCGAAAATGTAAATAAGTGCAAAAGTTAGAGAAAAATAAAAGTATGAATTATGTAACAAAAAAAGTAAAAGTTACAAGAAATTAAAATATGAATTTTGCAATTTTTTTTAAATAATTAAAAATATTATTATTAATTATTATTATTACTTTCAACTTATTGTTATTTATGTAGCATATTATTTCTGTGTTTCGTTTTGTTGATAATTTTGTTGGGTTTTGTTTTTTACTATTTCTTCATGTTTCTTCTTGTTTCTAATAATTATAAACCCAAATTTATCATTTTAGGCGTTTTTATATGTATCTTTTTTTGCAACCATATATATATATATATATAGTTATCTCCGTATATTTTTTTATTCCAAATAAGTAGCAATGATAAAACAAACCTAAATAGACAATAAAATTGAATATCAATAGAAAAAACAATAAGCTTGCAACAAAAAAGTATTAAAATGCAACAAATAAAAACACAATACAACAAAAAGTAACACAATGCAACCATAAACAACAAGTATGACGAAACAAAAGGAAACAAAAAATAACCCATAAGAGTATCAAAACAGGTATATGGTTCAAGATGTTATTTCAATCTATTAGACTATTGCATTATTTGGACTCCTATCTTCATTCTCCTCGGTAAAACTCTTAGGGAGTGTTTGCAACTGCTTCTGCTTAAAAAAAAGCACTTTTGGAGAAGTAAGGAAAAAGTGATTGGTAGTAAAAGTTGATAGTGTTTGAGAAAAAAGTGATTTTGAAAAGTAAAAGTTGGTAGTGTTTGGTAAAATAAGTGTTTTTTGTGTAATAGAAAAGGGAAAAACACTTTTCACACGCAAGCCGAGAAAAAGTAAAAATTGGTAGTGTTTGGTAAATAAGTGCTTTTTAAAGCCAAAAGCTGAGAAGTGCTTTTTTTTAAGCAGTTGCAAACACTCCCTTAGTCTTATTATAATCATCTTCATGTGCTTCTTTTCCACGTGAACACCTGCAATAAGAATACAATCAATATAACACAATTTCATAATTAATAATTATATACAGGGAACTAAGTAAAACAACCAAATAAGTAAAAAGAGCCGAATTCGTCTGGAGGTGCGGTGAGTGGGGAAGAGCAATGAATCTCCATTTGAAACTGAGGAGGGGCCACCGTCCAGTTGCTGTCGGAGCTAGTGTCGTCTCAACAATGAAACTATGAGAGAAATCATAATGAGTTCAAAAGTCCAGGATGAAAATATGACCCAGTTGACATGTACAATACTGAGCTCAAACAATTGTTCAGAGATTTACCTACTTAATGCCTCAAGTGCCTTCCAATTAGAAAGTTCACAACCTACAATTGTTTAAGATTAGAAAGTTTTGGAAAGCAGACTTAGCAGAGAAAGGAAGTTATACTAAGAAATTCAAAAGGATTTAGTGATTACCCCAAACTATATGTCTAAAATTATACAAAAATGCTCATCTGGAATAAATGAGAACTAATCACTAAAACTAGACCTACCACAATAAGCTTTCCAGCATTCTCAAGTCTCTTAGCAACCCTCATCGCAGCTGCTCCAGACGAAAAGCCCACCTGATCATTACAAAGCCCGAAATATAAGATGTAACAATATTCTAAAAAGCAAATAACATAAGATTCATTACATATAACATGGGAGTTGTATATGGAAACGAATAAGCAGTGCTCATGTTATAGCTTGAAAGGGAATAAATAACCAAAAGACTTTAGAATAACATGATTACTACTCAACTCGCAAGGTTAATATAATTCATGTGTTTAGACTGAGGAACAAAAAACTCCATTTTAGGCAGTTTCTCACTGTATTGCAGCAAAAGGAATGCACTTGCAAACATGGAGGAGTAAATGATTCCAAAAAAATCATTCATTTCATTTCATTTCTACCTTACCCATTGCATCATCTCTGCCTTTTAGTTTTTCATCAAAAAAAGCTGCCTAACTCATAACAATATGTGTTAGTAGAGGCATTTATTTGCATAGGAAACAGTTATTCCTTTCAATCAAGATCATGGGGAAGAAAGTAAGAACCTACCAATATACAAACGCGAACACTGAGTTTGCTCTATTGACTGTCATTTCCAATACAAACATAAGCTGAAAGTGTGAAAGAAAGATAAATAACGAAAACTTATTGAAAACTTAAGCGTCAACTAACAAAAGGATTTCATGTTAGTCTTCATGGTGATCATAATCTGAAAGAAAACACGTCTCCCCAATCACTTTGAACAATGAATGCCTAAAAAATTCTCCACAGATCTAAAAGAGTGAAAGATATGAAAACATTTACCAGCAATCTTTCTTTAAGTGCTAATTGATTAGCAACTTCAATAGCTTCATCATATGGTATCTATGTTGCACAAAATGGAAACGCAAGAAATGTGAAATGAAAATGCCACCCGGAGAAACATCATCTTTAAACAAAAAAGTTGTAATAAAAGATTGCGATAGTTTCCAGAAAGTTTAAGAAATTCAGAAACACATAAACGATACCCCCTAAAAGTTATGTGCTTCATAGTGATATCTTAAACAATTGATGAAAATATACGAGCACTGAAGTGGATATGGTTGTGAGTTGTGAGGCTCATCTCAATTTAAGGAACATGAACGTTAGCCTTAGGTCAAATAAAAAAAATATATCATTTGTTCATTGATAACATGAGCAAAATTGATGGAGAGAAAGCTAAGGCACTATGTGATAGTCGAATAGAAATTTAAGCAGAGAATGATAACAAACTTGATCGAACAGAGAAAGGTAACAAAATTGATCTAATGAACTCGGTAAGGCTTGGTCAGATTTACCTTCTTATTTTTTAGAAGAAGAAGAGCTTTCTGGTTGAGATTATGCCGGGGAGATGCTCTGTTATCTCTTGACGAAGAAGATACAAGAGACGAGTTGCTAGGGATTGATAATCCTCCATCTTTCCCTGTCCTGAGAAGAGAGTTGGATCTCGTTGTCGCTCTCCAAGCGTCAATTCAAGCCCTAGTTAGCTTCTTTCCCTGTCCCGAGAAGAGAGTTGGATCTCGTTCCCGTTTTAAACGCTTTTTAAACACGTACCGTTTTTTTGAATAAAAATACACGTTTAAAACGAAAAATAATGTCGGTCCGTTTAAAAAGGAAAAAAATTCTTACTTCCCGTATAAAACGTATTTTTCCCGTATTTTACTAAAACTAGAACATGAATTGATCAATTGAATGAACGCGTTAAATGCATAGGAGATCAACAATAGTTTAAATGCAAAAAAGAAAAACTCCTCCATGTGACCCCATGTTTTTGTATTGTTACAATAGAATTACTCCGTATTAAATAAAAACATGAATTGGTCAGATGAAGGAACACATTAAATGAATAGAAGATCAACAATGGTTTAAAAGGGAAAAAAACTCCTCCCTGTGATCCCATATTTTTGTATTGTTAAAATACAATTATTAAATATTATAATTAATTGCATGACAGCTAAAGCTAGCATCTTAAAATTCTAAAACTTAAAATACTACGTACTAACTTTCTGATGTTTTTCATAGCAAGCATGTCAAAAATAATTTTTTTTTGAACCTGATACTTTTTTAGTATAAACTTTTACACAAAAACAATAATAAGCGCGTGTAGTAGTCTCACAACTTTTTTCATATGTCATTCGTCATCTTCATGAAAATGATGAATTTAAAATTTTAAATTGAGTGTTATTAACTTATTATATTCGATGATTATATAGAAATAAAGATTTTAACTTGGTCTCATTCTATTGTTATTGTAACACCGTCTCCAAATGTATTTACTTCCAAGTAAATGATGTAATAAACCTTATGGAATGATTTACGAATTTACGAAGTTGTAAATTTTTATTAAGTCTTTCGCGTGAATTGTAAATTTCACGTGGGGCCCACACCGGGAGCGGGGGCCGCCTGACATTCCCGAGACCATATATTTTATTCATCTTGGTCTAGATAATAAATGTATAGTGGTGGATATTTCATTTGGGCCATGGAAAGGCCCAGAGTTGACCGATCGGTCGAAAGAAGCCCAAATTACCGGTACTGGTAATTTAACGGATAACGGCCCGAACTGAATTTCGGAGGCTTATAAATTAAAGTTGGGGAATGTATATTCATTATACATGTCATAATGAGTAAGAGCACATAATATATTTTATTTGACCCGATAAAATAAAATATATTTAAAACAGTCCAAAAAATACAACTTTCGGGACCGATTGTACACATCGGGACACAAAGGGATGACCTCCCACATGAGTGGGGGCCACCCCACGTTTTTTGTGCTCAATTAGACAAAGGGGAGCTCGATATGACAAAAGAAGGTGTGGAGGAGGAGGCTTTAATTTGGCATCAAAGTACAAGGATGACCCCTCACCCATCACACATTTTGTCATTTGAGACAAAATAAACCACTCCCTCTCACCTCAATCATCCAACTCGTCCAGCCCCATCTTTTTGAGAAGAAGAACTCTCAAAATACTCTTCCTCCATAGCTGAACTCGAGCTCAAGGAAGGAGGTCCAAAGAGGAGTGCTTGTAGAAGGAAAAAGTTAGGAAAAGTGTGAATAATTAAGGTAATGACCTTGTTATAACCTCTCCTTTATTTTTCTCCTACCATATGAGGTATATATCATGTATATGACCTTTAGTATGGTTCCATATGTTACAAGTATGGATTCATGGGTTGAAAGGTGGCTCTACGTCCAAGAACGGACTTAGAAGCCAAAAACGACCGGTTCACCGGAAAATAACCTTTTATAGGTTATTTGTATTGATTAAGGTTTTATGATGTTAAAACCTTGTTAGGCACTTGTAAAGGGTATTTCAAGTGATTTCACAAAGTTGGAAAAGTCGCCGGAATTGTCGCCGGAGTTGACCAAAAGTCGCCGGAGTTTCACCGGAGTTCAACCAAGAGGGGTAGAACTTCATAACGCTAGTTCAAGGTGAGTGGACGGCTTAATATCTTATAACTTTTGGGTTAATTATGAGATTACCTAAATAAATGTTATATGTGTTCATAATGATGTTTAAAAGATATTTAAACATGTGATTAACCAACATTATTAAGTTGTATGAAAATGATTAATTGTTTATACATGAAATGTGATATGAGAAATTATATATAATGCATATTTGCTTTAAGTGTAAAAGAAGCACAAATGGATTTTATTAACTTAATTATATGATGATTTAGTTAATAAGTGTAAGACTTGAGATGGCGGTCAACATGCAACAACGTTGACCGACGGATAATGGATTAATTAATATCGATTGGTATTAATTAATTATACATTTATATAAATGCATGGCTTTGCATGGAATGTGATACATAAGTTTTTATGTATTGAATTAGTTATGGATGACTAAATATGATATAGACCCTATCTAGTGTGATAAGTGGTAAGTCATAGGTCGGGTGGAGTACCCAAGGATCGGGCGGTTATCCTCAAAACTCGGTTATATAGGGTGGAGTACCCAAGGATCGGGCGGTTATCCTCAAAACTCGGTTATATAGGGTGGAGTACCCAAGGATCGGGCGGTTATCCTCAAAACTCGGTTATATAGGGTGGAGTACCCAAGGATCGGGCGGTTATCCTCAAAACTCAATTATAGGGTGGAGTACCCAAGGATCGGGCGTGTATCCTCAAAACTCATAGATTACATTTAATGATCTAGGACCGGGCGGTGTCCTTATGATAAATTATTTGAACAAGGAGGAGTTCTATACACTCATAGGTATATGGGTGGGTTGGGATTTAAGTCAAGGATATTGGCTACTATTATTTTCCCAAATAAACAATGACCTACGGGTCGGGTATTTCCAAGTGTATGTATACAAATATGTATTTCAAACTTGGGGAAAGGACTATACGTATATGTATCACCCTATGTTTGGGTCTTATACTTGAAACGCTAGTTATTCTATACTTAGCCTGCTACTCGCTCGGTACTTGTACTGACCCCTTCGGGGGGCCCCACCATTTTCAGGTTGAAGTTAGGGCTTGCTACCTGCACCTTTCTACGGGTGACATCAAATCAAGGAAGACGTGGTTCGTGCTTCCTCATTTTATTTCAAAGTACCAAACATTGCTCATGGATATTTTTATTTGTTATAAACCATTTTTGGGCTTGCATGCCCATGTTATTGGCCGGTTGTGGCTTATGACTTACCGTTGAATATTTCCGCTATTCATTGGTTTAAATGTGATATTGTTATGTATGTTTACTACTGAGTATGGATGGATTGTTTTCTCAAACGCCTTGTGTAATTAAGTGAGGTTGACTCGCGGGTGACGTCACTTAATTATACGGCGGTTGTACACGCGCTTGGATTGCGGTCTGGGGCGTGACAATTAAGTGGTATCAGAGCCATCTCAGTTCTAAACTATATAATCAACCTCTCACATGAGATTTTACAAAAAAGTTTTTACCGAAAACCATGAGCATTGTATTTTGACGTTTATCGGACTATTGGAGCTTAAGTTGCAAGGCCTCTAATTGTTAAGACGGTACCCTTAACAATTGGTATGGTAGTGGCTTGGGCCAATACGTGTCTGTGACGTTTTTCCGTCAATTGACATTTATAGGAGTCTAATGACTCATCCATATTTCTTTCAGAAATGGAGGGCAGGCGAATGGGAACCAGGAACAATCCGAGGGGGCAGATGCCGGTAGCATCCCAAAGGGGAAGCCGGGCTGCATCTCGGGGTTCAAGGGGAGGCCGTGGAGGCCGTGGAAGCCGTGGAGGTCATCAAGCTCAAACTGTGAGTGATGGCCATGTAAGCTCGGTGTATGAAACCAACACCGAGGACTATGACTCAACCTACGTTCCGGAAACGGAGCATGAGGAGACCCCATATGATGGGGGTGACACATACACTGATGATGACGACGAAGAGAGTGATGCCAAGTTCGCCCAAATGGGCGAATTGCTTGAGTGGTATCAAAAAGAAAAGCTGAGGAGAGACCTTAGGCGCCAAGCAAGGCGTGGCTCTCGTGGTGGTTCGGGTCAAGGAAGTCGGGGAGCTTCCGTGGCCACCCCAGCGGCGCCACAAGGTGGGCATGAAGGAGGTTTTGTGGTAAGAATCTCCAAATACCTCAAGGAGGCTAGGGCCTTGGGGTGTAGGTCCTTCGACGGCACCGGCGACATTACCGTTGCCGCCGATTGGATCAAGAAGGTGAAGGATGCATCGAGAGACATGCAGATTACTCCGGACGTGAAGCTAACTGTCGCTTCACGGCTACTTGAGGGGATGGCTTCTACATGGTGGGAAGGTGTAGAAGGGAAATACCGTGGGGACATCTCATGGGAAAATTTTGAGCAAGAATTTTATGCTCAATACTACTCCGATTTCGAGGTTAATGTGAAGAGGAGGGAGTATACCAACCTCAAGCAGAGAGAGGGTTGCACGGTTAAGCAACTGGAGCAAGAGTTCAGGACCTTGGCTAGGTTCTTACCGGAGTATGCGATCAATGAGGACCGCATGACTGAGCACTTCTGGGATGCCTTACTCTTGGACATCCGAGACCGTGCCACGTATTCCCGCCTCATGACCTTTAGTGAGGTGGTAGAGCAGGGCATGCTTGGAGAGGCCCAGTGGAATGAGAGGAAGGCAAGGGACGCCGAAGAGGCGAAGAAGAGGAAGTGGAATAATTCGGGGCCACCCGATCATTCTCGAAGGAACAACCACGGGGGTGGTGGCGGTGGCGGTGGTTCATTCAAGGCGCCGGCTCCACCGGCGAAGAAGAATAGGGATGCGAGGTGGCACGGACCTAGGCCACAGAACTCGGGGCCACCTAGATGTCCCAATTGCTCAAAACAACACTTTGGGAAGTGCAATGAACCACCGAGGTGTTTTAAGTGCGGGAATGCGGGCCATATGAAGGCCAATTGCCCTCAATTGATGCAAGAGAGTGCCTCGGGAGCTGGGGGAGGGACCATGACGGGAAGAAACCGTGCGGGCCCGTCAAACGGCGGTACGGGAAGAGGCAACGCATCCACAAGTCATGCTGCGTCCGTAAACC